TCTGATGGTTCATCTTTGAAAGAAACGACTTCAGGATCTTGTATGTTGTGTAGCAGTTCAAGGCAAGTCGTGTTTACGTCCTTCACTCAGCTTGACCTTACACTGTCCATGAGGAGAAACTTGCTGCATCGTCATAGTACAAGAGTTCCGAGCTGATGCAATAGCAACAGGCATTCGCCGAAGTAAAACGCGATGTTCAGCATCACATAGAAACCACAGGACCACCGGTCCACGCGCGGGCAGGGAATCTTTGACTCGAGAAGTTACGGCTAGTCCGGCAGGTGTTTTCACATATGATGGAACTCGGCATAGCACGTCCTTCATCCAGTCCGTATGCGTCGCCTCTTCACATGATGCCCAAATCAACAGGTAGTGATCGGCGGCCTTGCAGGGATTACAAGGCACTAAATCGTGTGACTGTGCCAGACCGTTACCTAGTGCCACACGTCTGCGATCTGACCTCCTGCCTGCAGGGCACGAACATCTTCTTAAAGCAGGGTGTCTGGCGACCGGGAAAACCAGTAAAATCTGGAAATGTCAGGGAATTTTTAGCCACTGGGAAAAGTCAGGGAATTGTTGGGAATTCGTCAATCAAGCGAGACAAGTCAGGGAAAACTGTCTTGGGGCCTGCCCACACTACTAATGACTCGCACAGCCGATCGCTTTGGGCGAAACGCTAGAGTCAGGGAAATGAAATTTTCATAGAAGGCAAGAGGAGGTGTCTAAATTCCACGCTCACTCTGCTTTTTTTTTTTATGTAGGGAATCTTGAAGGCGATGCATTTTGGTAGCCAATATTGAAGGCTATGCTTTCTTACGACGTCAAGAGCCAGAATTACGTAATCGAAGTGAAACACGGCAGGTTTTCGGTGTCGCCTATTTTTGCGCGATCGTTTGCACGCACTGACCTCTACTAAACTTAGTTTGTGCGTTCTGGCTGCGGAGGCAGGGTAACGTAGCATATCGAGTCGAGCCACGACAATCCGCACGCAATTAATCCAGCATGGTGACGTCCTTTGTTGTACAGTGTGGCTAGGCTCTACTACGACTGAAAATGTGTGAATTGTGAGCTTTGCGTTCTCGCGGACGTTTTCCCGGAGTTCCTGCGTAGCGGGAATTGGGGTGTGCGACGTTGTCCTTGACTAAGTGCTTCTGTGATTTGAAGTGAACATATCCGTATATTTTGTGAAGGCATATTCCGGAGAGAAGAAATCCATAGGACCTGCAGCATTCAGACGCGATCATCAGTGTCGCGCGCTGCTTATCAGTGCTGCGTTTCGGTGTCGCGCGCTGCAAAATATTTTTTTCATCGAAGATGTCAGGAGGCAAGAAGTGTTCCTTAATGCAGACTGGGCGAACCCAAGTGTCCTTCGACTATGCAAGTTGGATTAGGCCTGTGGAAAATGATCCGCACAAAGCCATGTGTACAGTTTGCCAAAAAACGTTTTTGCTGAGCAACATAGGTCACAGAGCTGTTTCAAGTCATGACTCTAGCAAGAAGCACATTGCTGCATTGAATTTTCTCAAAAGTGCTTCCCAGCCAAAGCTATTGTAATTTTTTAAAGCCCGACAGACATCCGCCTAGCAGTAGCACTGGATCTGCGCCTGCTGCTACCGAAGTTGCAGTGACTACAGCTCCTGTGCACGTGTCAGTGGGTGTTTTTTTGTTTAAGAACAACGTGACTAAAGCAGAAATATTTTAGTGTCTCAATACCATAATGACACATAGATTCTTTCCTTTTGCGGCAGTGTCTGCAGCACTTTTTCCACTGATGCTTCCCTCTTCTGAGGTGGCTGCAAAAGTTCAGCTGGGTAAAGACAAGGTAGGCTACACCATTTGCCATGGCATTGCGCCATACTTTCGCAATATGTTTCTGTCGAGTCTAGTCAATGTGCCTTGCCTGGTAGTCTGTTTCGACGAGGCGCTGAACAAGGTCACCCATAAACAGCAAATGGATGTTTCATTGGATACTGGATGCTGCTGACGACAGCGTGAAGGCTCGCTACCTGACGTCTGTTTCATGGGTCATACGTGCGCTGAAGACTGGCGTCAGCGTTTCGTCAAGCGGTGGAGGAAATCAAAGGATCCGAAATCCTGCAAGTGTCCATGGACGGGCCAAATGTCAATTTTAAGTTTTGCGGTCTCTGAAGGAAGAGCTTCGAGAGTCAGATGAGAGCCATATCCTCGACATAGGAAGCTGTGGCCTTCATGCAATCAGTGGTGCTTATAAAGCTGGCCACTTTGCATCTGGCTGGGATTTGGTATCATTTCTTCGAAGCGCCTACAACCTGTTCAAATGTGTTCCTGCACGTCGCGCTGACTTCGTCAGCCCCACGCGGTGTGCTCGAAATTCCCTATGAGTTCTGTGCAGTGAGGTGACTGGAAAACAGTACTGTAATCTATAGGGCACTGGAGATTCTACCACACCTCATTGTATTTGTGCAGCAATGTAAAGAAAAAGCACACAAGAGGCCACATGCTCAAGCTACAAAGGTGGTTGAAGAAGCTGTGTCTAATCAGGTCTTGTCAGCAAAGCTAGCAAAAGCTCTTTCGATTGCTGAGGAATTGGAACCCTTTCTGCATGAATTTCAAACGGATAAACCGATGGTTCCATTCCTGTCAGCCGCACTAGAGAGCATTCTGCGTTCACTGCTGTCGAGAATTGTAAAACGGGATCTTGATGCTGCCGACACAATCGCCAAGTTGATGAAGATAGATCTAAGCATACAAGAAAAAAAGCAAAGGCTGCTTAGTGAAGCGCAACTTGAAGCTTCTATTCTTCAAGACGAAGTAAACTCTCTCAAACCCTAATTGAAGTGTATTTCGAGAATGAGGGCAGTTGCACTAAATGTTTTACTCTACAATGAAATGCGTTTTCTGTACCTTTTTAATTTCAATGTAATACACGTAACAAGGTACTGTGAATTCAGCGTTGCCGACTGTTGACTCACCACAAGAATCCGTGCAGAATGGCCCGTGGTGTCACCCCACGGTCCACTTCAGGAGACCACCAACGATGAACACCTGCTGCCGATCCCCAAAAAAGGCTCACATTTTTTTTTTTGTGCTTGAGCCTTGCTTCTGTCACCAGCAGTCTGGCGACGCTGCTGGTGCCAACGCTTTAGCCTAATGCAGTGCCTCAGCGGCTGTTACACCTAACTTTGGCTAATTCACAACACTTGAGTGTGCCACGAAGCGCAAGCTGCTTTAGAGGGGGTAACAGCATCCCCATATGCTTTACTTTGTTACATGAACCAGACCGCACCAAGTGGGCCATTGCTAGTGTAGGTAGCTTTAGCTATGTCAGTGAATTCAACATAAAATCGTCTTAAATAATTTTAATATCTTAGAAATAGGCATGTGCTTCGAATATTCGAATGAATAGTTGAGTATTCGAATTCGCTTCGATTCGAATTTACATTACCGATGATTTTCGAAGTATTCGCAATAAACGAATAGGTGTATATTAGTCCGCATGTAATCACCTGTAAAGGGTGTTTCACTGCAATGTAGAGGTGCGAAGTCGTGAAAACACCTATTTAGGAGAAACTCGCTTTGCCGCGAAGCTCCCCTTCGAATTTAAAGGGGCCCTGCAACACTTTTTTACTGAACATGGTCAGAAAATGCGGCCGATCCGTAGCCGAAGCTACCGAAAATACGTGAGGCAAATATTATAGCACAGCACGCGGCCTGAAATTCACAACAAGTTTTCAAAACTACAAATTTCTTTCTTCCCTCTGCAAAAAACACTACAAGCTCAAAAATCACTTGTCACAGCCAAGAAGAAATATTGGCAACTCAAATGAACACGTATCATGTTTTCTTTGCACTTTTATGTGTAAAATGCTGAAGGGTACCATTTGTTAAAACAAAGAAATTACACATTTTGTATGAGTGAGGAAATGGTGCGAAAACATTCACTAACTGTATCGGGGATGCTTTGTATTCTTAGAAACATTGTTTTGTGACAACCAGTCATAGCATAAGTAAATCGCTTCAAGTCGCTCCAGTTGTTCATCAACACAACATGCTACGGACCTTTTAATAAGTTTGAGGGGCATTTTTTTTCACTGAAAGTCTGATTTTTCACTGGCTCATGGTCCAAATTTTGAGAGCCTGACAGGTAAAAAGGAGCTGGCATAAATAGCCCCTTCCAAAATACATGCAGCTTCCAGACAGGACAGCCAATAGTCTTTTGTTAAGGGACGAGGACAGAAAAAAGAGTTAAGCTCATAAAAAATATTCCGGACTGGCACCAGTGGGGAGTTGCTCAGCCCCCCATGGTGCCGTCCAAGGTTGCCCCCCCCCCCTTATGAACATGTGCATTTATATTTTACGAAGATGGTGGCATTTGATAGCTGCTTTATTTATTCATCTATTTTTTGAAAATCCTTGTATTTATTGGCTTCATTTCTTGATCCAGGTGCAGAAATTTCATAAGTGCTGTATATACACTCAAACCTCATTATAACGTTGCATCTTACACAAAAATAAGTTTGTTACCTCTAAAATTTGTTTATTCCTAACACTGCATCTTTTGCAAGACTATTCTTCATTTACTTCATTAGAACCAATACCTTCCGATGGAGGCGGAAATGTGCTTAGGAATCTTCTCAAACTAGCTTTTTTTCCTGCAATTTTGCTTCGAAGTATTAAAAAAGTACTTTTAAAATATTGGAGAAATAATCGATTTCATTCACACTTCAATATTCGAATTCGTTTTGCAGTCACAATTTTTGTATTGACATAGCTGTACTTAAAAATGTAGAGCTGTGTAAATAAAGACTCATCTAATGGCACTGCGTTTGCCTGCTTGCTTACAGTAGGAAAATGGGAGATAGCGAACACAGTGTTCAACATGTTTAGTGACTTTGCATTCGAGAGAAGCCGGGACAATCTGCTATTGTGCTGCAACTTGTAGTCTTCTACAAGTCTGCAGGGCAGTTATTTCACAGTTTATTATTTTCATTTGATTGACTAGCATCCTCTCTGTATTGCAGCACACAGTTCTGGAAATTTGCTCTGACTGGTACAGATAGGAACACTGAATTGAAGATATGGAGCTGTGAAACCTGGGCTTGTCTTCAGACTATTAGGTAGGTATAGTGGTGATTTCCTGCTCACTTGCACATGTATATTTTTTTGACAGATATTTTTATTTTGCAGTACTTACATGCTTCCTCACTTACATGTCTTGCTTTTTGTAACAAGAACCTCACCATATACAGTGTAGACCACTTATATCGTAACCGCTTGTAAGACAGAACGGGTTACAATGCGGTCTCTTTTTTGTCTCCTGTTCACTTTCCATAGAACCCCATGTATATGCATACCGCTTATTGGGCAGTCTTCAAAATAAAAGACCAGTTATAATGCAGTTGCCCAAAATTTTTGTGACAAATGCGGTAGTGAGTGTGCGCCTGGAAGGAGGTGCGCTTGGTGCTCCGCTGGGGAGTGAGCAAAGAGGTCGTTATGAAGGAGGTGGGGATGCAGAGTGCACCAATACAGGGTGATCCCAATACTCGGTGGTCCCACGCTTGCTGCGTGGGACCACCGAGTAAGGGAGGCGAGTGGTTATAATGCGATTGCTGAAAAATTTTTGTGATAAACGTGGGATTGTCTCTGCGCCAGATCAGCCTTTTCTTCAGTGTCGACGCAGCTACAGCCTGCTAGCGTCGCCATTGCACGACTTTGGCTGCGCGCGAATCAGCATGGCACATGCGATCCCGTTTTTATCGATGCGCTTAAGAGTTTCCTGTCAAGGAAAATGTCGTCGTTATCGACCTTGCTACAGATATTGTCTGTAAATTTTAAACCTTTACGGCTTTATAACGTGAGCTTTTGCCTTGGCTGCAAGTGCTCTGTCCTTGCGTAAGCTTAGTGCGATGTTGTCATTTTTTCTTTCGGCTGCGAAGGCGAACTTCGTATCACGTATGCTGTTTTTTGGTTCAGTGCTTCAGTACAATCTTGATGCCGATTTTTCATGTCTTGGACAAACTTCCCGCGGCATGTCAAACGGCAGGCTAGGCCTAATGGGCATTACTTGTGTTTTGGTAGTAATTACATTGTGGTGGTTTGGTACAGAATCAACGAAACGCTTTACGGTGGCTGCACTTGATGGAAAGAGATATATTGGTAATGAAAGTGAGGGTGGCACGTGTAGCACACTTGTGGCGGGTTGTGGTGTTTTGAAATCGGGTGCACGCCCTCGAAATCGAATGATTGGCATATTTCGGCGGGTTAGGTGTTGAACATGAGTGGACATAGTTTCTTTGTAAAGCAGCGAATTTAGGTGGTTTGAGAAGTAGTCGGCGTATTTGTCCAACCCCCCCCCCCCCTCCCTCCTTTTGCATTCATTTTGTAAACATACATGTCTTTGGACGCAAATTTTTTTTTAACATTCGGAAACTTTAATCGTTATAATCACCATGCATCGCTCATGCTTCGATTCTCAGACACGCAAGGCCTAGCTGCTCAACACAGTTTGCGCAAGTGTGGCCCTCGAATAAGGTTGTTTTGGTTACATTGCGATATCGCGTATAGTGCGGGTATTCACGACTTACGTTATAAGCGGTCTATACAGTCTACTGTTAAGTCTCAGTCATACATTCTTGAAAAACAAAATGTGGCAATCATCTTAAGCAAATGTTCCAACTATTGTCTGGGCACAGTCACTGAAAAATCACACTGCTTTTCTGCAATAACGCAGCTTTGTCAAGGTATGGAAAGACCTTACGGAAGCGTAAAGTTTTAGGCTTATAGCAATATTGATTGAGTAAAGTGCCGTGAACATCAGCCTACTCACTAAAGGGTGGCATTACAAGCGTCCATATTGACATAAATAAATGTGAACACTGCATGCCACCTAAATGATTCTTTAAACCTTCCCATAGTCTTAAATTTGGGATGTATAATTAAACGATACAAAACTGCTGCTACAAAAATTTGTGAATAAATGCTGTCATATGGAGATCTGCCAGGGATAGAGAAGCCCTTTTGTGGCCACTTCAGTTTGCTTGGGACTTGCATGGTGCTTTGCAGTAAGTGGAACAAATGCTTCTAATGTGATTGCTCTGTTACTTGTATTTGCACCCCTGATTCTGTGCTCTGCAGGACACCACTCCTGTTAAACTGGAATCATATTATCTTGGTCCCTTCAAGTTTGCGTGGTAGTTCCACCACCTTCAGGAAGAAATTTTACAGGTTTTGTCTGATAGTTTTATTAGAGTTTGGCTTGTAGGATTTTGTAAAATTTTAAACCCTAGAATGATTAAAAAAGCTAAACTAAAAAAATTTATAAAAAACCAAAATGGGCCCAAATATGCATGTTGTACCAACAGTCATAACTGAAAAACATTTGATGTGACTCAAGGCTTGGCATTACAAGACTTAGCAGCTATGTAATGAGGACAACACCGTGGCATCCAAACCTTAAAACTTATCGTACCTCTATTCTAGGTACGTATAATAAAAAAAAACTGAAAAATTGGCAGATCTCACGTACAGTGGGAATCGATGCAAAGCACGAATGATGGAAGGTTGATATGCCACTTTCAAATCGCCACAACATTATGAGGTGGAGGTAAATTATGCCGTACACGACTTCCGTGTCATGATATCATGTTTGGAGTGTCGTTATCTACGTCATCTATTAACGTAACGTGATGCCAGATTTAGTATATGTGGAAGCTAGAGAAAGTCTGCGAGCTCTTACATGACACGCGTCTTACATGACACGTGTCTCATGATTATCATGTTTGTACCAGTCATAAACTTTCGTCATCTATTGACGTCACATAACACCAAATTTGGTATATGTGGAGCTAGCGACAATGGCCTCGAGGTGAATCATGAAGGGCTCAATATACTCCAACTTACCGTCGACACGCGTGCACGCTGGGCTCAGCGACGAAATGCGACCTGCTGCATTTGGCGCCAATTCGTTACCTAGACAGCACTGCGTCTGCCTATTTTCGAGACGGAGGGGACGCCGGATGGGCTGAAACGCGCATGCGTCAATGATACACTGCGCACGCCTGCGAGTATATGGGAGGACTGGCGCCTGGCGTAGCAACGCCGGCGTGATGCGACAAAACGAACGCCGGTGCGCATGTGCGCCGGGTCACGTTTAAAGGTATTGGCACTTTCACTGTGGCATGTAGTCATGTTCTCACATGACACGCATCTCATGATCGTCATGTTTTCAACAGTCACGTACCTTCGCCATTCATTGACGTCACGTATACCAAATTCGGTATATGTGAAGCTAGCGAAACGGGCGCGAGCGCATGATGAGCGTGGAGTTTAGTCATGTTGTTACATCACATGCACCTACACTGATATCATGTTTGCACCAGTCACGTACCTTAGTCATCCATTCATGCCCCGTAATACCAAACTTGGTATATGTGACGTTAGTGAAACGACTGCGAGCGCATCATGAGCGTGGCATGTAGTCATGTTGTTACATGACGCGCATCTCATGATTATCATGTTTGCACCAGTCACATACCTTCGTCATCCATTCACGTACTGTAATACCAAATTTGGTATATGCGGTGCTAGCCAAACGGCCGCGAGCGCATCATGAGCGCGCCATGTGGTCATGTGTTACATGACACGCATGTCATGTAACAACATGACATGCGTGTATTCGACACACCAGTATTCGCAACTTTGAACGCGCATCTGCAGCTCCGTCTTCCATGGCAAGGAAGTGGAGTGCCAGGTCGCTCAGGGCATAGCGGAGGGATCGACTTCTGCACCAGCAGGACGTTACAGCCAGCCTTCTGATCTGCTTGATGATATTGAGAATGGAGGCCCCCCCCCCCTCTTTTCGAAGATCTTCTTGAATTCAGACTCCTTGTACTTGGCAGGTATTCGAATGTCATTGTAGCAGAGAAGCCTTCAGTATGTCTGAAATTCCCGTAGCTTGCAACATTCTTCGAAGTGGCGCAAGTTTTGGAGCTAGATGAATCTTGTGTTTTCTTTATGGCTCATTGTGTTTACAGCTGACTCATCACCGTCCTTTACAGTGGGTTCACACTTCATTATTGATTCTCTAACTTGTGTTGACGCTCTTTTTGCACCCTATACTTCGCCATATTGCATGAAGTACTACAACTTTCTCCTTAAAATACGAGTTCTAAGTCCAAGAGCAGTAAGTAGCGTAAAAAAAAATCACGGTAGAGTGAAAGCGTGTGGAAGAATACAGTGCCGCAGCCCCAATAGAAAATTAATAATAAATTAAACATGCTTGGTTCCACAATCTTTGGACCACACTTAGACAACTTAGCATTACGTGATATGTATACAAAAAACATTTATGATGAGACGGTTATATGTCGGTGAACTCAATCGCGAGTCTGCATGAGTAATATTTTGGCGAGTCTGAGTCCGAGTGAGTGCAGTAGAAGACAATTTTTATGAGCGTGAGCCCGAGCGAGTTCAGCTGAGGAAAAATATGGCGAGTCTCAAGCCCAACTGAGCCCGAAGTGCAAGATATATTTGTTGAAGGATTCTGAGTGAGCTCCACTTTTTCTGCCAACCTATTGAGATGGTAGATTTTGTGGAATCCGAAGCATTCACTTCAGGTTTAGGATGCATCCGGCAGAGGTTGAAAAATAATCATAACTTTCGAGCGGCTCAAGATAACTGCATAAATGTTTTTTTGCTGAATATTCTTGAATGTACAGGGAGCTTGAAAATATGAATTCTCGACAAATCATTTTCTTTTCCTTTTTTTTAAAAATGCATTTTTAAAAGTTGTGAGCTACGAGATTTTAATGTACACTAAACTGTAACCATGCTAACAGTGCTTTTCTAGCTGATGTATCATTTGACCATCACTTCAATATGGTAGAGTAACCCCCCTGAAAAATAGAATGCAATTTCGACACCAAAAAATTCTCTGTACTCTGAAGAAACAAATCTATGGAAGCGCGATGGCGAGCGGCCACTCCAAGCGGTTTTAAATACCGAGTGCCTTCTGGCGTACAGCAATAACCGCACGTCAAACTTTGTTTTTCTTGAAATGTGTTTCAGTAAATTTTTCAACTTCGATGTACCTTTTCTCAAAAAGTATTGAATTGATTTTTGATGAAATTGTAGGCCCTGAGCTAAAAGATTGGAACAATCTGAACTGAAAAAATGCTGATGTAATTAAAAAGTAACGCTTGTAAAAAAATTACGCAATAATACGCACCCTCCGTGGCGTGTGCAAGTACTATTTTCTTTTTTCAAGTTCAAATGTAACCTATGAATCTCTAGAACAACACAGCTGAATATAGTTGCATTTCTTTCGGCAGTTGCAAAGAAAAGGTACATTAAATAAGGGAACCCTTCAAAATTTGGGAGTGGGCCATAAGAAGGATAAGCTATCTAGGCATAAAAAAGGGTGTCATTAGATACCAGTTGGCTTTCCTGTGAGCACATAAATTTCAGGGGAATATTTGCAGCGTTACTATATACTATTTACCCTACCATCCCCCCCTGAGGGACACTTTCTGTGTGATGTGTTCTTACGAGAACAAGTTTTGAAAAGATTTTTTTCAACTTTTTTTTTTACCTATGGTCTATAGGTTCGTAATGTCACCTGAAGACTGGCACCATTGCCTGCATTGAAGTTGAAATGGATTCATCGTCCTGTTTACCTTAGTAGCATCGGACATTCACAGAAAGGTACCACTCCTTTGAATTTTTATATTGTACTGATGTAAAACATTTGCAGTCCTGTGCCTTTGTTCATAAAAGGGATTGTGGCTGATGCTGACATTCTGTCACTTTGAACATAATTGCTTTGTGTTGGCATCATTAAAGCTGCCATCCTAATGATGTCTTATGCAGAGTAATAGATGTAGCACCTCTCTTTGTGTCAGTTGTGAAGTGGCTGAAGTATATTTATGTTTGCTGGTGGGCACAATAAGCACTTAATTTTGTCATTCTGCTTGGCACTCTGTTAGGCTATCACCGTTGATATGTATAGTCTGTTTAATAATGTGTAGGTGAGAAGCTGCTTTGTTGTCAACTATTATATGTTTATTATGCTTAAATAATCTGCTTGCTCAAGTGCCCCCATGCCTCATTATCATTTATAACAGCAAAGTATATTGTTGGGTATTCATTCCAAAAGGTGATGAAATGCACAATCCTTGGGGGAAAATGTTCATCACTGTGAGAAATGTTGTGTGACCTCCCTAAACACTGTATAGTACTTACAGCAAAAAGCTGTTAATTCAAACTTAGTCCATTTGAACTGACGGTTAATTCAAACCGCTGTCTTGGTTCTGGCACAGTCTTTTTTATTTCTAGTGGGGGAACTCCTGACAATTCAGGTGCATTGGTATCGGCAACGGTTAATTTGAAATAGGAGCCCTTAGTTTCTCGTCGATCTTTGCATAAGATGGCCTAAATGTATCACAATATGTTGCCAAACCAATAAAAACTAAGTTTACTTGAAATCGAGGATCTCATTCCTGCTCCACTGTGCCAAATTGCCACCAAACGAGATTTGCTATGCCAACCTGATAAATCGACGTAAATCGACGCCACACGGTCTATCTCGAGGGGGGGGGTCTGAACTTGTGGCGCCCGGGCCGCATGCGGCTCGCAGGGCAGTTTTATGCGGCTCCCGGAGCGACATCACAAATCTGAAATCGCTAGACACTTTAATGGTGGCAGTATTTAAATAACATTAATTAATGTTTTAATTACCAGAGATAGTGGTTGAGTCTAATGAGAAAATTCTTTACATCCTGAGAACAGGCTGTTGCCACTTCAAAAAATTGGCTGTTAGTACTTCTGCGGAGCAGTGAAATTCAATCTCATTCTGCAGCGGGACTGTAACCAAAGCTCCGATGAGCGCAACTATAGCAGAAGGCTAGAGATATGTCACTGTTCACGACGGTGATTGCAGTGGTGCTAGTTCTGTATTGGCTTATTCATGTACACCAATGCCACATATATGTGTACTCTAATCTCAAGCGAAATCCCGTTGCAGCAAAGAATACCGTATTTACTCGTGTAATGAAAACACTTTTTTCTCGAAAAATCGGAGCAAAGATGGGGGAGCGTTCATTATACGGGGCAGATTTTATGAAAACTTTTTTTGCGTGAGCAAAAATGTTTTAATGCAAAAAAAAAGTTAGGTCACTTAGCTTTTCGCATACACGTAGACTGTTTGGACACAGCTTCTCTGTTGCACTTAACTTATCTTCTGTGGTTGATGGCTTCATCTTATGCAAGCTGTCCCCGCGTCGCCGCGCTTGCCATGAAAGCGTTTTGCGTTTATCTTTTCTCGCAATGATTTAACCGCAACAGTGATATCCGTTGTGATCTCGAGAGGCGCCAAGAAGCTTATGCTATGATGCACTTTGCCAACTTTGCATTGTTGTGCAGCAACCTCACACGACAACGCCGTTGTCATTGTAGCAAGTAACTAACTATGCAGCAAGCTACCCCCAAAACATCGAAACAAACCGTCGATAACAAGATTGATGACAAAATGCGGCCGCTGTTTCACTTCCACAGGAGAAGTTTTTGTACGGGTGGCGAACAAGCTACGCGAGTATCGGAGGTGCTACCATGTTGTGGAAATCGTCACAATCATTTCTGGGTGACGAGTGATTTTTTTTTTTGTTTTTCCAGAAACCTAAGATGCAATAACGACGAAGGACTCTTCGAGACAGCAAATCCTGTAGTTTTCGCTCGAAAATAGCATACACGTCGTTGGGCCTTTGAGTTTTGTATTTGCAGGAAGCGATTGTCAGTCGCGCGGGCAGATTCGTGACCTTTGCTTGCTGTGTGCTTATCAGCTGCGATGCCTCTACACTCGCATGTCGTGAGCCACAGTGTGGCACACGGATAAAGAAGACGGGGGACATTCCGCGCGCAAATAGAAAAAGCATAACGGCACGTGGCAACGGGTCAGGGGGGTCGGCATAATAATTAAAAAACCGAAGAGATCTGAAGGGTAAGTAGGTGCAAGTTGCGGTTAGCGGAACTGCGGGGGATGAATGTAGGGGGTGCGTTTAATATGCGAGTGCGTTCATTACACAAGTTAAATACGTATGACACGTAGGAACAAAACCAGTATGCACCTAAATAAATATTTCTTTCAGAAGTACTGCCAGCCTCACGCATGAGCCTTAGGCAGGGGTGGGTGATACAAAAAAGGAAACAAATATGAAGAATACAACAGGAAAGGAAACACGTCACGCAGAGCTACACCATCAAGAACTAGTGCATCAAAGTAAAGCGCCAGTACTTACGCAATTGTAGTGGTTTACGCGTACACGTACAAAGAAACTATGATTACAAACATCTGCTCATACAGTACTAAGAAACAAACATCGTATAACGGTAATAACCAGATTTTCGCATTCGAAGGAGATCACGCTGCCATCAACTCTTTCCTTACCACGGGAAAATTGGCCTATTTTTGTATGTTGCAGCTGGGAATTTTCTGTGCCGTTGCTACTAGGTTTACAGTGCCATGAAATACATCAGAATAAAGACGAATGAACGTACTTTTGAATGCTTTTCATGTTGAAACAATAAAAAAAAATTTATTTGGCACAAAAAATTCGTATACAATAAAATTATAAAATTTTCGAGAATTTTTTTTTTAAACAAAGCGATATCTTCGACACAAAATTTTTCTGAGGAATTTTGAAATATACAAAATGTTTAGTGATCACAGGGCAACATTATTTAGAAGAATTGTTAAAATTGACGAAGCTGTTTTTGAGTTCCAAAAAAAATTGCCTGATGCATAGCGAAATAGTGAAGTTCTGAGTTGGTCCCACGCGAGAATTTTTTTTTTTTTTTCAAGAAAAAAATTTTTCAGCAAAATAATACGTACCAAAATGCAAGTACTAAATGTAGGGTTTGAAAGGTACATTTGAGGAAAGAACTGGCAGATCTAAATAGGTAACAAAAATTGACAAACACAAATATTTAGGTTTGTTCACAACAAACGTCGTAATGATATACTTATATCTTCCGAGTAAAAAATTATGGAAAGTTATGAGAGATGCAAAATATTTAAAATAGCGTATTGGAGTAGAATTGAAAAAATGAAAGTTATAGCTCAAGAACTTCTTGAGCTATAAATTGTGCACTACTGCGGAGCGTCATGCCGAGGTCGATGCCCGGATCCCTCTGGGGTCGGAAGTCCACGCGTCTTTGTGCTGGAGGCAGCACATCGCTCCCATATGAAGTAGACACGCTAGAAATAATAATAACAATATGTGGGACACATACAGAGCAAGTCAGCCAGCTCCAGAACATGACAAACAAAACAGAATGTGAAAACCAAACATACCCCCGACTAACAGCTGACGTTCCCGGCTGATCTGATGAAATTTCTTCATCGGAGCTAAAATCCGATGTCTCCACATCATTGTCTGATTCCTCACTACTCGAGGAATTCAAAAGATCGCTCGTCGAGGCGTCGGCATCGAGCGAAATCGCTTTTTTCCGAGCGCGCGTGGTTCCTGATGTTGACGCCATCGCGTGAATCACATGCGCTTCAACCTTTGAACAGGCGTGACCTTTAAAAATCACCGCCACGCGGTAAAAATGCGAACCGTACAGAAAAAGCAATTCTAGTGTGTGTACCATCGCCTAGATGGCGCTACAAGTCCATAGGCACGGTGCTTTTGAAAAATAGGGGCGCGAAATCATCGTTCACCGGTGAACGATGCCTAGTGGCCTGGTAAGAAAAGAGTTAAAGTTAGAATCCCATACAATCAAGATATCCAGAGCATGTGTGAGATATCCAATCAAGTGCACACGCGTGTGCACTTGATTCATGTTAGGAGCACCACTGCCGAGCAGCGGTAAAGCCTACGTTCATTTCTCGCTCTGCTTCGTGTTAAGTAGAACCATGTTATAATGAAGCGAGATATGACGGACTAATAGATGTAACAAGCAATTGTAATTCTCCTTGAAATTCTCATACATGCCCATGTATTTAAAACCTTGTTTTAACGAAGGGAAAATTTTCTTACAGTAGATTTACTGAATCATCCTTTGTCCACAACGAGCATTTACTGATCAGTGTTGTATATGTAAATGCAATATCTTATCGCGCGCGACGGTTTCCGTATCATCACGACTGTGGTTATTCATAACTCGCACCTTGCGCTCGCCGGGAGCCGCCTGCCAACACGCGAGTGGGTGTGTCTCTCTGCCTCCCCTTTCCTCAGGAACTAAAGGACTTGCCGCGCAGCAACTCGCGCAAGCATGCGCGTCAGCCGGCTTCCCCTCTCCTGTAGAACTCATTGACCCGCCCACGCATTTGACCTCCTCCTCCCTTTCAGCTCCGCACTGGGACGGCGAAGATTGCGGCTATGTTCTTTGGCGTTCGCTCTGGAAGAGCAACACCACCTCTATTAGCTTCGCCGCCCGACACGAGATGGACAACAGCAGCGGCAAACGTAACTGAAAAATATAACAATCGAGCAGAAGTCTGCAATGTTGAAAGCCGTTAAGTCCGGCGTCGAAAAAGAAAAAAAAAAAGTTGAAGATTTGGGCGATGTTGCCAGTGAGGGTGCCGCAGGCAACCAGGCCCAGTCATCATGGGACGCTCTCCTGGACACCGGCGTTGTGCCTAACT